ATTCTGTTTTATGGCAGTGAAAGTGAATAGGCTAGAGATACATGTGTACTGATTCAATTCTAAGAATATAAGGTTGCTGGATGCGGTGACACAGCCCTGTAATGCCTGCGACCTTGGAAGCTGAGACAGGGGGATTGCAAGTTCAAGATCAGTCTCAGCAATTTAGTGAGACTCTGTCTCAGAATAAGAAAGGGTAGGGTTGTAGCTCAGTGTTAGAGCACCCCTGGTTTCAATTCCCGGTACAATAAAACAAAGACAACAACAATAAAGGTCTCCAAAAATGACTAAGTTGCATAATGATAAAATTAATGTGACAATATCATTTTTGGTAAAGTTTAAAAGCAAGCAAAATTATATGAATTATTTATGAGCGCATGTGTAGTAAAAATGTAAAAGCATGGACAAAAACTGTCCACACAACTTCTGGACAGTGACCATCTCTGGAGAGGGCAGAGAGAGGGGAATCTGATCTGGAAGAGTGCAAAAGGGGGTTTCTATTCAATTTGTAATATTTTCTTTTTAAAGTAAAAGTTGATGCAAATAGGAGGGAATGTTAATAGTTGTTAAATGTGGGTGATAGCTGTACTATGCTGTTTTTTCCCCCATGAATTCAAATATTTCATAATAGATGAACTGAGTATGCAAGGATGAAACTTCCAGAGAAGGGCTAAACCCCACTGTCAATTTGCAAGCATTTCTGAGAGCCAAAGAGTTGCATAACAGTGCCCTTGATGTTAGAGCACTTGCAGAGAAAGAGCAGAATTTCCAAATGGATGTCGGAAAGAGGAAGATGCCATTGGTAGAAACATCTAATGTATCATAACAAACATTTCTCAAGAGAAGTCAGAAATGGTACTGGTGATTTGATTGAATTTGGCAAAAATTTGAATTTGGTTGAATTTGCCAAAAACCTGAGGAAATATTTCCCCATGGCCATAGCTCTCTAAGACTTTAATTGGTGACAGCATTATCTTAGGCTCTCTAAGACTTTAATTGGTGACAGCATTATCTTAGGCTCTCTCTTGGCCAGAGTCATTTGGATACATATCTTTTCCTATTTGGTGTGATATTTATTTATTTAACAAATTGGTACTGATGGCTTCCTTGGCACCTGGGAATGCCTCCAGGATTTTTCTTTACCAGGAAACTGGGGCAGCTCTGAAAGCAGGATATTGCCTTAGGAGGAGTTATTTGGGGTTATTAGAGGTGGTTTTAAGTACATAGTATTTTACTGAAATGATGTCATGACTCATCAAGAGGGCTTGGAGTGTGGTGGGAAAGGAATAAGGTGAGCTTAAGGGTGTGTCTGAACTGACAAGGAAGACTAGGGTAGAACTCTTATATAATGGACTCCTGGAGCTAGCCACATAGCTGCATGATTTCAGAAAAGCTGAGTCCATTGGTCCCAGGTAGGTATGCTTGTTCCCTCTCTGGGTCCCCCTGGGGACAGTAGGCTGTAAGGCTGGAGCTGCCAGAGGCCACTAGGATACACACTTCTTTTCTCAGCACAGTTCTGTTCGTCAAGGCTCTCAGGAGACTCTGTGGTCAGTGAACTCCACTGGTCACCACCAGGAGTGTCAGACTGGAAAGGGAAGGTCTTAAGGCCTGAACTTGAGTCCTTATTTCTTTTGTATCCAGAGACAAAAGGTCAAATCCACATTCTCCTCTGCAGTAGCAAGTCTCAGATACCACCATAGATACTTGTGAGCTGAGCTATCCCCACTCTCTGAGATGCTGGGCCGTTGTGGAATATCCTTCGGTTTGGGTTTATCTGATGTTTTCTTCATGATTGGCTTTGGGGAAAATACCACCGGGTATGACTTATATGGCGCTGATCATATGGTTAATGGCTGGGAAGTGTCTGTCATGTTTCTCTACTGTAAAATCCCTCTTTTCCCCTCTCCTATATTCTTTGGAAATGAGACTGCAAGTCCAGCTCACCTTCAATGTGATTAAGATCCCCTTCTTATAATATCTGCATATAATATTTGGAATTTTTCTGTAAAGAAAAATTTATTTATTTAGTTACTTAGTTATTTACGCCATCACTTAGTTATTTATTTAATCTTTTTTGTTTTTTTGATAGTAGTGTGAACACACATATATTTATTTTATACTTTGGGTTAAAATAAATCAACAAATTGAGTTAAAATTCAATACCTTATTTTCTTGCTCAGATTCGTCGAGTTTTGGCTACTGGGATCTCCGAAAGTTTGGCTCCTGTGTTCTTTTGCTATGCCTCCAGTCCTTTGGTTTTCAAATGTTTATTTATTTATTTAGCAATTGCTTGTTTTCTGGCACTAAAGATGCATTTTTCCTTTCCTAGCCCGAGGATCTGCTATTTCTCCAAGTAGTAACTGGAAAAATCAACTTTTAAATGTAAAAATAATGTATGCTTTTTTCATGGGAAATTAATACAAGGGAAAAAAATTCAAGAATTAAACCATAGTTTTGTGACCAAAAGAAAACCATTTTTAGAATCTGATATATTTTTCTATTCTCTTGTTTTTATTTCCAAATTCATGACTTCTGCTTTAATTTATATTTTCATTCTTTTCACTTGAGTTTGTCAGCATTTATCTTTTATTAACTTCTTAAATTGAAATATTATTTTATTGTTTTAAATTATTTCCTTTCTGGAAAAAGAAATGTATTTAAGGCTGCATTTTCTTCTCTGGGAATTGCCTTGATCATGTCCCGTGGCATTTGTTCTTCTGCAAAGTCCCACCCCAGCTATATTAGTTTATTAATAATTTCTTTAAAGGCTTCATCTCCAGACATGGTCACATTCTGAGGCATTGGTGATTAGGGCCTGGACATATGACTAGTGAGGGGACATGATTTAGACTTCAACACTCCTTGAGATGAACAAGATTGAACTTGCTTTGAAAGCCAGAGATTTAGATAGAAAGTGCATGATTGTTTAAAGCTTTGATGTAGAACAGATGTGAACTTGTCTATTTTTAGAGACTTATGATTTTTTTTCCCTCTAGGAAAGGTCAGGTTAGCTTTCTGTATTAATTCCCTACTTAATGGTGCCTAAACCACTCAAAAAATGGAATAAGAATTAAATCAAGGTGAAAAATGGGCACTAAAGAAATGATTACCTCTTCTAGACATTAGGGCCCAGAAAGAAGTTTGTCTTCCTGAGCATGACTGTCATTTATTTACATAAAATTACTAATTTGTTAAAACCTCCAGGAGCCCTCTTTCATCCCTGGCCTCACTCTTTATTCCACCTTATCTAGGTCCCTTCTGTGCTGGTCACCTCTCTATTTTCATTACAGGCCCAATCTCACTAGATTCTATGCCTGGATAGCTTCTCAGGCTGTTATAGTCCCAAGCACCATCCCACTTCCCCCAAAGGCCCTGTATCCCTCCTCCAGCCCTGGGCTGCCGCTCTCAGTCCTTATAAATGATATATCAGTTCTTTGGAACAGGCTTTTGTGTCTCAAGAGCCAAGATTGTGCCTGCAAACTATTTCTGCTCAGAAGCAGCCCTCACCAGTAACTGATGGGAGTTGGAAATATAACCCATGGAGGTGGCTAGTGGTTCTGGTTTGCTTGGGGTTCCCTGGAATGCAGATCTTTCAGTGCTAAACCTGTAATCCTGGGAAACTGGAATAACTGGCCACCCTAAGTCTCCAGTTCCCTTGGATTAACTCTGAAATTTGAAACACTTGCTCAGAATTTCTTAGTAGGATTGAGCTCCAGTTGCTCATAGAGATAACGTATTTGATTATGTGTCCTTGGTCATTTAAATTCTTTTCCATCCCACTCTCTTCATTCTCCTAGCATAGCTTCCCAGGGCCACCTCCAAAACAACTACTTGCCTTGCAGTAAGTAAGGAAGCCTTAGATAATTATTGCTCCTTGGTCTCCCATTAGGTGGTGAGGGGTTTGAGGTGAATGTTGTGAGCTGAGAGACAGCTGTTTCAGGTATGAGGTGAGACTGATGTGGTTACAATGACACAAGGCCATGAGATCTTTGGGCAGGTAAGCATGGACAGTATGGACTGGAGGTCAGAAGGAAGCAGGGATAGATGATCTATGAAAGTTTTTTGAACGTAGGGAGTAACTGGACTTTATTTAGAGTTGATTGAGAGTCATGTGTGGTGAGGGGAAGCAACTTGCCTGTCAGACATGCTGATCAGTTTAGATCTCTGACAGGGAGGCTACTACTGTTTCTTTAGGTGAGGACCTGAAGAGAGAGAAGGTTGCAGCAGGCTAGGGAAAGGTCAGAAACCGAAGATGTTGAGAAAAAAACAAGTTCAATGCTCAAGGGCTGGGGATATAGCCTAGTGGTAGAGCACATTCTTAGCATGTGCTAGACCCTGGGTTCCATCTCCAGAACCACCAAAAAAAAATTTTTTTTTTTTAAAATATACAAGTTCAATGTTCCAATGTTGGCTGTGTAGAGGAAGTACAGAGGTAACTCTGAGAAGAATATAAAGCCAGGAATGATGGTGCACAACTAAAATCTCAGCTATTCAGGAAGCTAAAGCAGGAGGATCTCAAGTTCAAGGCCAGGCTGGGCAGCTTAGTGAGACCCTGTCTCAAAATGAAAACTAAAAAGGACTGGGGATATGGCTTAGGGATAGAGCACTTGCCCACTATGCATGAGGTTCAGAATCACAAAAAGAACAAAACAAAAACAAAAGAATATGGTGATAGTCTTTATTTGGAGGTGTGGAGATGGGTTAGGCAAGTACCCCTTAGGCTTCTACCATGAGCCACTGCCATGCTTGGCCCTGTCTGCCTCAGTGGGGTAGTTCACTATAGGTCAGGGGAGCCTGCCTGGGGAGTTGGCCACAGAAAGGACATGGATGGCTCTATAGCTTCCTGGTAAGTTTGGAGGATGGTGGGACACCTATCAGAGACTTCAGTGGAGTCTCCCTGGAGGATGCAGGACGACACAGGTCCTAATGTGTTCTGTAATGTAATGTCTTCCCAGGTTCTTCCCCTGAGAAGTTTTGTGTTCAGGAAGATGGCCAGATAACAACTTCCACCCATGTTCAGGGCGTTATCATGGACCTTGAGGGGTCTTCATTGCTCCTCCATCCCTCTATCAACAAGAATGTTCAGTGAAAGAGCAGATAAGAGCCGCTCCCTGGCTGATAAAGTGGCGGTGATCACCGGATCTACTAAAGGGTGGGTGAATGGAAGTCCCTGACTGCCTCATGACCAGATGTCACTAAAGTCATGCTCATCTCAGGTATCCCTGCCTGCTCAGGGTCCCTACGTCATCACACAGCTTTGGTATTTAACTCCACATCTCTCCCTAAAATATCTGGTTTCTGAGCTCCAAGAATGAGGTGGTCAGAAAACCAGTTATACTGAGTCAATCAGAGCAGCTGTGAAGATAGTCTTTACCATTTACTGGCTGGGTAATCCCCAGATATTTAACTTATTGCCACCAGGATAGCCCTCTTGCCCACATCCTTCATAGCCCCGTGGCCACGGTCTTTTGGCATCCTCATCAAATAGAGAGAAGCCCAATTCCTATTGTGTTTCAGACTCAGGGGTTTCAGTGACAGCAGAATGCCCACTGGCACTGGGGAATAGGCAGGGCAATGTCTCAAGAGCAGTGCCAAGAGTTTTCATGGACAAATCTTCATTTCTTCCTGTGTCCCTTCAAAGCCATCCTCTGAAGGGACAGAAGCCAGGCTTTCATGTGCTCTGGCTGCCAGAATGAGCGGCAGTCTATAATAAGTCCTTACCACAGGTAGAAGGAGGGGAGGTTTCTGGATTTTGTGCTTTAGGGGCATCATCTTCCTTTTGACCTTTTGTGGTCTATAATAGCACCAATTTAAACCACTGTATTTTAGAATTGTTTAGTAATTATAGACTTCCCAGATCCCTGTGGTGTTTTAAACCTTTGTGTGTGTTCCCAATACTTAGCCTCCATAATAGATGAATACTTTCAAAATTCCAAGCTACCTGGATGGTTTCTACAGGATAGTGGGAACATGCTTTGTGCCCTTCCTTTATCTTAACCAGACCAAGTCAAGAGTGCTCAGCCCTCCTTAATGTAAGGAAACAGGCAGAGAGCATGCTCTTCAGCAGAAAAGTTTTTAAGCTGCAGAGCAGAGCAAAGCTGTTAGGCTTAGAGAAATCACGATTTATGCCAGAACTCTCTGATTAGAACAAAGGGAAAAAATGCTGGGCAGTTAAAAAGACTCTCTACAATTTAGGCCTGGTGCCCAGCAAGTTTACAACTGTTCTGATGGAACATTACTTTTTAAAGCTCCTTTCAGCAAATTTGATATGGAAATATCCTTATCTATAAAATATTATTATTGTACATAAAGTTGTGAGAATTAAATGAGGGAGCTTTTGTGAAGACCTGATATGTAGTAGGCATTAAATAATTCCTTTTCCCTGCTCAGAGGATTTGGAGGCGGCTCTTAGACAACATCAGGAACTCAATCTGCATCTAAGTATCAGGTTTGAGAAAGCAGTTTGGGGAGAGGTGAGGTCATCTTATTCTCTATCTGCAGGATTGGCTTTGCCATCGCCAGGCATCTGGCCCAGAATGGGGCCCATGTGGTCATCTGTAGCCGGAAGCAGTGGAACGTGGACCAGGCAGTGACCACTCTTCAGAAGGAGGGACTGAGCGTGACAGGCACTGTGTGCCATGTGGGGAAGGCTGAAGACCGAGATAGACTGGTGGCTAAGGTGAGAGGCTGAGGAATGGATCAGATGGGAATATGCAGATCCAGCTCTGGCAAGAAGAGTCGGGGTCTCTAGCACTGGATTCTAGGCCAATAACATATGCAGCCCAGGACAGGGACCTGGTCAGAGAATAAGCAAATGGACACCAGAAGTTTGCTGACAGGAGGGAACCTTCATGGTTAGACTAGAGCCATGCCAATCTGATGACCAAGAGCTGGGCATGACACAGCTCTTGCTTGAGACTCAGAACCTCAGATCTTGCCAGAGCTGCTGAATTGGAATCTGCATTTTTACAAAATCTTCAAGTTAATCCAAGTTCATGTTGAAGTCTAAGCAGCACAGCTCTAGTACCTATGTGTGCTGAGTTAGGAGTTTGCTAGACTACTCTGGGGTAGGAGATTTTCCTATGGGACTACCCTTAGAAGAGGCAAGTTGTGAACCTGATGGGATGTAGAATGGGCATATGCTTTTGATGTTAGATCGAAGGAAGAATCTTTCAGAGCAGAGGAAGCAAAGAGAAGGAAATAATTATAAATGGAAGAGATGAAAGTGGGGATACTTCATAAGTGAAGATCTGGGTCAGTGGGGCCCAGGGACCAACCAGGTGTCCTATGGGGGCAGAAAACTGATGTTTCTAAAGAGGAGAGGCATAATCAGTTCAGTCCACTTCTGATTGCCAGGATCTGATTCTGCTCCTGGACAGCTCCAGGATGGCCAGACAGGGGTTAGATATTTCCTCTGGGTCATTTTTACCATTTATCCATTCCTTCATTCATAGCTTATGTCATTTCTTCCACAGGCCCTAGAGCACCATAAGGGCATTGATTTCCTGGTGTGTGTGGCGGGGGTCAATCCCTTGGTGGGGAGCACTCTGGGAGCCAGTGAGCAAGTCTGGGACAAGGTAAGGACTGGGCGTAGGGTTTTACCCATCCTGCATGGCACACTATCCACATATTTGCACATATGCATGTGCGCACATAGCTCCCATATACCACCATCAATACAGGCTCTAGTGGATGGGATTAGGGCTCACTGGAGCCATCAGTAGGCTCAATGGGCACTGACCATGTCCATCCTATACCAGTCTTCAGAAACTTCCCCTATATGGACTCTCTTTGTGTTGGTCCCAGCTGTAAAGTCCTGAGATGCCAGATTTCTGGATCTGTTCATGGCAGAGACCCTCTCCAGCTCAGGTGTCTGAAGCTATCACAATCTGGACTCTCAAATTGGCTGTCCCAAGAAACACAGTGCCCTGGCTACTTGCCACAGTTATGGAGCTTCATTCCTGCTCTGACCATTGATCTCCAAGTGACCAGGGAAAATGGGCCCTGAGCAGATGGAATTGCTCTCTCCCCGCTGCCTTTCTCTATATTCTTTCTGATTTCAGATCCTGGGCGTGAATGTGAAGGCCCCGGCCCTGCTGCTGGGCCAGCTGCTGCCCCACATGGAGAACAGGGGGTGAGGGCATGAGAGGAATGGGTGGGGCATACACTGGTCTTTCCTACCCCAAGAAAGCACTTGGGGCAGGGGCCCATGAAGTAGAGGATTATGGGAGAGATGGCAGGTGTATCTTTTGGGAAACATTCTGTTTCCAGACCTACCTTCCTTCCCCAAGGATGTGACAGTTGTGTTGAAGAGAAGCATTGGCTGGGAGGAGTCAGAACTTGCCTTTCTGTTCCTTAAAGGATATTTCACGAACCCTTAGATTATTACATCACAGAAAATGGCAGGGATTTTGCCCCTTGAGTGGTAGTTGCAGGAACAAAGTTTCCAGAGAGAAGCAGCCTGGGGTCCCCTGTTCCGATTCCCTAACTCTTACCCTCCTCTCTGGGCCATCTCACCTGTTTCCCTTCTGGTCAGAGACACTGTGGGTTTGCTCTTTCTCACCTTCCCCTGCAGAGCCTGGCTCTTCTGTGTCCTGTGGCCACCAAGAGGCAAGCCAGGCTGGGACTCATGAGTGACACCCTGACCCCACAGGAGTCTCTATGACACATGAACATTACTGGGATTCTGCTTTCTGGGAGTGCTGCCTCTCACTAGGCAGGGCCCCAAGGGACACCACTCTGGCTGTGCTTATTGGGTGGTACTGACATTTAACTTAAAGGTCCAGCTTCTCCCCAGTGTTCCAAATTGTTCCCCAACACTTATGCTTTTCACCATGAATACTGAGCTGGTTTTCTTTTAGTGTGGGAGTATAATTCCCTGGCTCATATAATCTCTTAGTTGACCTCATCTGTCATCTTATCCTATTTCCTTTTCTCCTCATAGGGGAGGCTCTGTGGTTCTGGTCTCATCTGTGGCAGCTTATATGCCAATATCAGTGAGTATGAGATCCTCAGGTGGAGCTCGGGGGGCATCTGAGTTGGTTTCTTGTGAGACCCTGCAGTGGGGTGAGGGGGAACTGGCTGTTGATACCAGGTAAAGTGGGCTTGAGATGTGTACCAGTAGCCTAACGCCCTGAATGCTACAGGCCGGGTATTATACTCTCATTCTGTCACGTTATCTCTGAAACCCAGGGTGTTAGACCATTTAGTCAGGGTAAGCATAGTTAGTTTGCATTACTGCAAGGACTGGACCCTGGATCTCCTAATTCCAGTTTCCTAAGTGGATGTTCTAAAGTGCAGTGCTGCTCTCTCTGTGTCAAGTTTGGCCACACATGGCAGCAATTTGCTGACATTTCCTTAAGTATGAGGAGCCCCTTCATCTCAGAATTTCACTCCTTGAAAATCTCTGTGAAGACTTGAGGGGTGGGGGAGGGATTTTTGTTGGGGCCTAGAGTCAGGCATATCTTCTTAGTCTGTGACCCAGGGTCACAGTTTTGTTTGAATAAGACCCTTCTTCCCATGCAGAATTATTAGTTTTCTTCCTTTTGCTTTATAGAAGCTGGGAGTCTATAATACCAGCAAGACGGCCTTGTTGGGCCTCTGTAAGTCTCTGGCTGTGGAGCTGGCTCCAAAAGGCATCCGAGTGAACAGCATAGTACCAGGAATAATCAAGACCGACTTTATTCAAATGGTGACTATGACAATGGCTTCTGCTCCCAGTCCCCACAACCACAGTCTCAGTGGTCCTTTCCATGGCTGGGCTCCTGTCGGAATTGGGCCCCCAGAGACCACATACCTACTAGAGCCTCAGTCCAGGCTCATCACTGAGAGGCTGTGTCCTCTGGCTTCAGAACCAGCAGCCCCCCCTTTCCTGCAGAAGAATGGGGGTCTTAATCCTCTGTGGGGAGCAGACCAGAGCCCTACCTCACTGTCAGAACAGGATCTTCCCCCAGAGAGGCATTAGCTGGCCATGATGCTCTTCCCATCCCCCCACCCCCAAATCCATCCCCACCCCTACTAATATCCTTCTGCCTAATGCTGACTCTGAAATCTTTCCCTAGGAGAAAACATTGTCGTACACGCCATCTGATTTGAACAAAATCTATGGATTGCAGCGGTAGGTGGGGTTTGGGGCTTTAGAGGTCAGTGTCTACCTCAAGGGAAATTCAATTTCAAGAAGAGACAGATCCTTGATCTTCTTTCAGTCTACTGGCTGTTCTCCTTTCTAGGGGGGCACAGCACAGTCCTGGGTTGGGGGCAGAAGGGTGGATGTGAGCTCACTATGACCATCCGTGGAGCCTGGTGAGGTATTGGCTTATTGGGGTGAATGCTAGGCCACCTCTGGCCCAGCAAAACCTGAGGTCACAGTTCAATACTGCAAAGGCTGTGACCTCAGCTCTTCTCTGTTTTATTCAGGCTTGGGGAGCCAGAGGACTGTGCGGGGATTGTATCCTTCCTGTGCTCTTCAGACGCCAGCTATATCACTGGGGAGAACATCACAGTGGCTGGCTACTCTCCTAAGCTGTGAAGAGAGTGTGATGCTAAGAAAGTGGGGCTGTGGTCCTCAGTGGAAAATGAGGGGTTTGGCAGGGAATAGGGAGGTGGGGAGCCTTAGAGTCTGTAGCATCCAGGGTCAGATCGGGAAACTTGCTCAGGAAACTAGAAGGCAGGTGTTGAAACTTTTCATGTGAAAATAAACATTTTGAAACATCTAATCTGAGCTCACTCCTGTTTTGGCTAGTAATACATGAGCAGTCCCCTTGATCTAGAAGCCACTCCTTGATCAGTCTCTTCCCTTTTCTCTGTCCCTCATCCCTAAGAATTTTTACCCCTCCCTCCCCCCCTTCATTCCTTTCCCATGGAGTTGGAAATTGGGCTGTATACTTCCCATCTTTCCCTCCAGATCTACTTGTCTATGCTTGTCTACTCAGTGCCTTAGGAGGACCCGTGGCCTGCACTGATGGTCCCTAAACCTCTGGCCTGCATCTGGGTTTGGTCAATGGGAGGCACTAACAGGAGACTGGAAGGCAGAGGAGAGTGAGATCAGATAATTTGTTTTTCAGCCTCCCTTCTGATTGCCATATATGGGCTATTCTGTCTGCAGCTTTCTGCAGGTAGATTTCCATAACCACGCCTACCTGTCCTTCAGGCCTGCCTTTGGCCCTGAGGTGCTGCTTTATACCTTATTGGATGTGCTAAATTCTGTCCACTCATTCGTAATTGCTTTTTGTTTAAATTACATTTAAAACCTTTTTAACTGAAACATAAAAATTGTACAAATATGTGGAGTACAATGTGATGTTTTGATACATGTATACATTGTGTGAGGATCAAATCAGAGTAATTGGCATATCTAACATCTCTTTGTGGTTAATCATCCAAAATTCTCTCTTCTAGCTATTTTGGAATGTACAACACATTAGTAGTGACTACTATCATCCTACTGTACGTTAGAACACTAGAATTTACTCTTTTTTTTTTCTTGAACCCAGGGCTTTGTGCATGCTAGACAAGTAGTCTACCACTGAGCTATCCCACTCCCACTCCCAAGCTCTTTTTAATTTTTATTTTGGGATAGGGTCTTGCTAAGTTACCCAGACTGCCCCCAAACTTGTGATCCTCCTGACTCAGCCTCCTGAGTAGCTGAGGTTACAGGTGTATGCCACCACTCCTGGTACAGAATTTATTCTCTTTATTTAACTCTGATTTTGTACCCATTGATGGACCAATCCACATCTCCCCTTCACTTGTCTCTTAGCCTCTGGTAACCATTATTCTACTCTCTACTTCTTTGAGATTGAATTTTTTAGATTTCCCATGTGAGTGAAATCATATGGTAGTTTTCCCTCTGTGCCTGGCTTATTTCACTTAGTGTAATATTCTCTAGTTCCATCCATAGTGTTGCAAATGACAGGATTTTATCTTTTATGGCCAAGTAGCTATATATCTATATCTATATCTATCTCACATTTTATGTATCCATTCATCCACTAATGGACACTTGGGTTGATTCACATATCTTAATTGTTGTGAGTAACTCCTCAAGCATGGGAATACAGATATATCTCTTCAACACACTGATTTCTTTCATTTGTGCGTATACCAGTTGTGGAATTACTGGATCATGTGGTAGGTAGTTCTATTCTAATTTTTTCTTTTTTTAAAATTTTATATTTTATTTTATTTTTTTATTTATATAAGACAGCAGAATGCATTACAATTCTTATTATACATATAGAGCACAATTTTTCATATCTCTGGTTGTATACAAAGTATATTCACAACAATTCTTGTCTTCATATATGTACTTTGGATAAAATGATCATCATGTTCCACTATCATTTCTAACCCCATGCCCACTTCCCTTCCCCTCCAACCCCTTTGCCCTATTTAGAGTTCCTCTATTCCTCCCATACTCCCTCTCTCTATCCTATTATAAATCAGCCTCCTTATATCAAAGAAAACATTTGGCATTTGGTTATTTGGGGTTGGCTAACTTCACTTAGCATTATCTTCTCTAACTCCATCCATTTACTTGCAAATGATTTTATTCTCTTTTATTGCTGAGTAATATTTCATTGTGTATATATGCTACATTTTTTTTATCCATTCATCTATTGAAGGGCATGTAGGTTGATTCCACAGTTTAGCTATTGTGAATTGTGCTGCTATAAACATTGATGTGTCTGTGTCCCTGTAGTATGTCCCTGTAGTAGTCTTTGGGTATAGCCCAAGGAGAGGGAAAGCTGGGTCAAATGGTGGTCCATTCCCAATTTTCCAAGAAATCTCCATACTGCTTTCCATATATTGGCTGCACCAGTTTGCAGTTCCACCAGCATTGTATGAGCGTACCTTTCTCCCCACTTCCTCGCCAATGCTTATTGTTGTTTGTCTTCATAATAACTGCCATTCTGACTGGAGTGAGATAAAATCTTAGAGTGGTCTTGATTTGCATTTCTCTAATTGCTAGCGATGATGAACATTTTTTCATATATATCATCTTCTGAGAAGTGTCTAAAACAGACTGGTAAACCAATGGTATAGAATAGAGGACACAGAGACCTACCCACATAATTACAGTTATCTTATATTTGACAAAGTTACCAAAAACATACATTGGAGAAAAGATAGCCTCTTCAACAAAGGATGCTGGAAAAACTGGAAATCCATATGCAAAAAAAGGAAATTAAACCCCTATCTCTCAAAACTCAATTCAAAATGCATCAAGGACTTAGGAATAAAACCAGAGACTCTGCATCTAAAAGAAGAAAAAATAGGCCCTAATCTCCACCATGTGGGATTAGGCCCCAACTTCCTTAATAAGACTCCTTTGGATCAAGAATTAAAATCAAGAATTAATAAATGGGATGGACTCAAACTAAAAAGTTTCTTCTCAGCAAAAGAAATAGTCCGTGAGGTGAATAGAGAGCCTACATCTTGGGAGCAAATTTTTACTCCTCACACATCAGATAGAGCATTAATCTCTAGCGTACATAAAGAACTCAAAAAACTGAACAACAACAACAAAAAAAAACCAAAAAAAAAAAAACAACAACAAATAACCCAATCAATAAAAGTTCTATTCTAATTTTGTGGAGAACTGAGAGACTGTTTTCTATAATGGCTGTCCTTACATACATTCCCATCAATAATGTGTAAGTGTTCTCTTTTTCCACATCTTTGACAGCACTCATTACCTTTTGTCTTTTTAGTGCAGCCATTCTAACTAGAGTGATATTTTATTGGGGTTTTTATTTGCAATTTCTTGATGACTAGCAACGTTGAGCATATTTCATATACCTTTTGGCCATTTGTATGTCTTCTTTGTGAAATCTCTATGTAGGTTATTTGCTTATTTTATTTATTTTTTACTTCATTTTTGGTACCAGGGATTGAATCCAAAGGCCACTGAGCCACATCCCCAGTCCTTTTTATTTTTTATTTGAGACATGGTCTTGCTAAGTTGCTTAGGGCCTCACTAAGTTGCTGAGGCTGGCCTTGAACTTGCAATCCTGCCTTGGCTGGGATTAAAGGTATGTACCACTATGCTTAGCTCATTCGCTTATTTTAAAGCCAGATTTTCTTTTGCTATGAAGTTGTTTCAGTTCCTTATATAGTCTGCACATGTACATCTTCTTCTATTATCAGAATCCCCTGCTGGGAGTAGTGCATTTCTTAGAATTGATGAACTTACATTGACACATCATAATTGTCTAAAGTCCAGAGTTTGCATTTGATTTTATTCTGTGAATTTGAACAAATGTATAATGATAGGTATCCACCCTCATGGTATCATAAAGAATAATTTCATTGCCCTAAAAATCCTCTGCGATCCTCCTATTCATGTCTCCCTCTCCACTAACTCTTGGCAACCACTGGTTATTTTGCTGTCCTCATAGTTTTGCCTTTTTCTAGAGTGCCATATTTTTAGAATCATATAATATGTAGCTTTTTTGGACTGGTTTCTTTCACCTAGGAATATATGTTTCAGATTTTTCCATGTCTTCTTTGTGACTTAAATAGCTCATGTATTTTTATCACTGAATAATATTCCATTGTGTGTATGTACCAGTTTACTTATCCATTCACCTATGCTAGTTTATCTTTGCTGCTTCTAAGTCTTGGAAACTATGAATAAAATTGCTATAAGCATTCGTTTGCAGTTTTTGTGTGGATACTTTTTAAAACTCATTTGGATAAATACACAGGCATATGTCAATCTAGGTGGCTATCACAAAATACCATAGCCTGGGTGACTTAAACAACAGACATTTATTGTTCACAATTCTGGAGTCTGGGAAGTTCAACACCAGGGGGTCGCCAACATGTCAGGTTCCTGGTGAGGGTCAGGAGGTCCCAGGAGGAAATTGACACTTCCTGCCTTGCAGATGGTTATCTTGCTCTGTTCACACATGGTGAAGAGAGAAATCGAGATCTTTTGGTCTCTCTACTTGGGTAGCTGATTAGGTCCCTGGTTCTGTCATATGGCCACACCCTTGGTGTTCTCTGCACCATGGGACAGGCTGGGGATTTTCCAAATCTGGGTCAAGATTAAACTGTTAACAGATTAGGTAGTCCCTGATGAGGGACTACCTCTTCTTGTAAGGACACTGATCTCATCTTGGGGTTTCCACATTTATGACCTCAGCTTGATCTAATTATGTCCAAATTCCCACCTCTAATTTTCATCACATTTGCGGTTAGGGACTCAGTATACAATCTTTGGAAGGGACACACAAACATTCAATCCATAGCAGAGCAGTGTGATTACTGGATCATATGGTAAAAGAATGTTTAGTTTTGTAAGAAACTGCCAAAATGTCTTCCAAAGTGAATATCATTTTGCGTTCACACCAGCAAGGACTGTGAATTCCTATTGCTCCACATCCTTGACAGTAGTTGATGTTGTCAGTGTTTTGGATTATGGCCATTCTAATAGGCATTAGTGGCATCTTGTTATTGTTTTAATTTGCAATTTCCGAATGTCATATAATGTTGAACATTTTTTTATACACTTATTTCTCATCT